CAAACACCAGCAAACATTTCTGACATCTTGGGAGACATTGCATTTTATACTGAGTGTTATTCTGGATTTGTTTGTTTGTTTGGGTGTCTGGTTGTCTTTATTTGTCTGGTTTGTTTACCAGAAATAAATTGCAACTACTAAGCAACTTTGTGATTTGTTGGTAAATGTAGGCACTAGACATGCATCATTCAATATTCATGCATTTCATGATTACGCCAATGCTACTATCCGATCGTTTAATGGAATCTGAATCCATTGAAATGTGGGCGAACGGTGAAGAGGCTGCAGCATAAAACCATATATCAGTAATTATATCCACATAACATTCTCAAATCAAACATGAACTTGAAGACGTCGACCTAGCCGCTGTCCTCCGTTATCAACGAGAGTCAGCATGTAGATGCTCCCGGCTCCAGTGCGGTCTGGCCCCTGTCGCCCCGATCCTGCCGAGGTGATCATGTTGTTACTCCTGAGCCGTCCATTCATAGCCGACAACAGGAAACTCGGCCATTGACTGGGTCCTGTCTCCAGGCATACACTATACACAGCCACGTGAACGCTGCAGACATTCTAAACACTCAGCGATGCACCTAAAGAGGCCTTTGGGTGCACGACGCACGTCCGGTTGCTGGCTGGAGGGGTAGGGATTCAGGGCGTCCTGCTGATGCTAAGATGTTTGGGCCGAAGCGCCCTGCTGATGCGGAGGTGTTTGGGTCGGCACGCCCGCTCGTGTGAGGGGGCGGTGTGAGTCAGAGGGTCCTCCAGAAGCTGGAGATGAATGGGCCATCCTGTGGGAGTTGTTGTGGGCGGGAGGCGTGGGAGGCGGCCGGCGGGATGCTGATCTCCGGCGACGGAGTGTGGGCGGTCGATGCATCGAGGTTGACTACATCAGGTCGCCCACGAGTCTGATGATGGCACTATGGATGAGTTAGGGGTGCTGTCTACGATACAGTCATAGCGCTACTCGTGGGCGCAGAGATGCCAGGATTGGAGCGTTTCGTGTTTGTTCAGACGCCAGAAAGCGACGTAAGCCGTGTGGTAAGTAGGTGAATTACTTATTATGGAAGGGATTAGGCAGCAGCTACCATGTCTCACCATCCATTCTGGCCTTCTTAGGAGATTTGTCTGAGGGAGTGTCTGACTAGAGTTCCTCGGATTAAACACAACTCAGACATATGTCCGCTGAAATGCACAAGATGAACAGCAGATGTCAGATGACATCATGAAACCGCGTAGCTTGCGGGGCCAGGTGATGTCAAGACCTTGGCAGTCGACTCAAACCCCCACTTTCAGTTAGATGTCAACGCCTTCTTCTCCAGGTTCATTGCTACTTCGCCTGACACGGCGCATTCCCACCGATGGCTTTGATGCAGGTCAGAACCGACATTAATCTGCTCACAAATCTCCAAAGTACTCTGAATCACCATCACGAACAGGACTCTCCTCGGAGAGGTGCCAGCTGCTCGGCCAAACACAGTCGTATACACACTCAGTCACGCCAGTCGTGCAGTCTGAGTCACCATTTAGTGACACGGTGCTGAGCGTCTCGCCGCTGAGAGCACGAGCGTGACGCCGCGGTGACAGTGTGTGACGCCGCCGATCAGCACCGCGCCGGGTGGCGAGTTACCTAAGTGTGGAACTACAAGTCGATTCTAGGGCTCTGATTGGTGACTTTGGTCGGAGGATGACGCTTATAGCATGACGTCACTCGCGTACTTGGCCGGACCAACGGCGCGGCGCAGGCGCGCCGAGCCAACACAGAGGCTCTCAAACTCAATTGTACAGATCCTGCGCATTGAATGGCGAAACTTCGGCGAGTTCGCTTGAGTTTGGAAGCCCCTGCTAGAGAACTGGAGACGGCCGGATTATTTGCTGGACAGTGGGCAGCGCAGATGGCGATTGACGGTGCCAAAAAGATGATAGGGAAAAAGGGGTTGAGACTTGAGCAGTGAATTATAAGCCTGTTGCATAGCTGAGTGGTAAATTGTAAAATACCTAAGGTTTGAAGAGATGCAGTGTAGTTTAGCCGACTCAGGGGCATTCTGCCGAGTTATGTAAGGCGGAAGGGTCGCAACTCGCAAGTCGTTTCTTTACATGATTGCCTGATTAAAATGTAAAGCGTACCTAATGTTTAGTTGATAATACAGCAAGGTTGGGCATCTGCTCAATCCATTTCTTCTCTGCAATAGTGCATTCGCCACTGTAATTCATTGTAAGAGGCACTGGGCTGCGCCGCCTGTTAATTATTCCGAAACCACCAGTGAATTGTCACAGTCACTCACAACAATACGAATCGTTCAGTCGTGCGCTGGGGGTCCGCCAAGTTTGAGTGTGCTGCAGAATGCAGACTGGAATCTGGACCGCCGAGAATATAACTCTTCCGTCTCCCTGGGCGAGCGGCGCCCGAAGTTTTTTTGTGGGGAAGATACCCATGTTTGAAAATTATGTTCTGGAATGATGCGATGAGGAAAAGGACGGTTTCTTGAATTGAGGGCTGTGGAGAAGAAGCAGATTTTCTCATTTGCTACCCGATACAACGCGAAAAGACGCAAATGTTGCACATTGGCGCAAATGTTGCACATTGGGCTTTGCACATTGGGTCTAATAAAAGATAAGGGACTTCGTGAATCATGCCTAACTGACCGCGACCCAGTTATTTGCCACTGCAGGTAGGTACTAGGTAGGTAGATACTCATTTGTAAACAGAGCGTTCTACCAACCCTCGCCAGAAATTCAATCAGCAGTTGCTTATCTTAAAACGTTTGCGTGCACCTAACAACCTTTAAAAATGACGTCCTCCCCTTCAATGGTTCGTTCGAAGACACAAAGCCAGAATCAGCCAAGCAATATCGGAATCCATTGCGCAGTGTGTCGACTGTCGGATGTGCCCATCCACATAGCATAGCACACACTGCTAAATGCAGGTACGCTCACCTACACATTAGGTATTCATAGTTCATAGTTCATAGTTTATTCGTGGTTGCATCCATTCTCTCATGTCATCCACATCCATATTCGAAGGACTTGATAGCTCATACACATGGAAGAAACGCATGAAATGTGATTAATAGCTGCAGCAGAAGTTTGGCGTCCGATGCCTCTTCGCCAAGTTAAGACCATGCCAATCTCGGCCAGTCTGCCGCCGCGCCGGCACTGGCCGTGGTGTGACGTCATCCGGCCGGCTCGGCGCTGGGTAGTTCCACACTTAGGTAACTCGCCGCCGGGTGGGCGGCAGACGAGAATAGTCGCCCGGCTCGATGACCTGGACTCGTGGGAGGACTGGAGCCTGCTGGACTCACAGAGCTCTGACTCTCGCTGAGTCAGTCACGGAACCCATTGATCGCTGTGGTGAGACACCTGATCTGGTAAGCGGTACCACCACCTGATGCAACAGCTGCCCTTCACAGCCACGAAAGGTATCGTTCACGGCATTTGATCAACGATTTCCGATGAGAATGCGTCGTTTGGTTTCGCCCCGCAGGACGTCTCCAAATATGGAGGGGTCGATATGATGTTGAAAACCCTCGACCGCTTTTGACTGTCAGTGGCGTCGGTTAACCAATCTACACCGAATTGTTTTTCCTGAAATTCGACCTCCTTTCAAACCCAGCGCCCCGAGCCCATTCAGACGTCATCGCAGCAGGCTCGGACGTCAATCCTGGCCTCCATTCAGACCATGCAGTTTGCCGGGCCTCCGAACCCTCCCCCTCCGCGGGGGTAGGTCACCTGGCGCGGCAGTCGGCGCCGACAGCTGACCGTCGCTCTCGGCGCTCCGACGACCTTCGGCGGGCGTCGGCAGCGGCGTCGGCCGGGCTGTTTACCCTAGGGGCGTCGCGTCGCTCATGCCGCCCCCGCAGATGCCGCTCCCGCCGCCCTTCGCGGGCCCTTGCGCAGTCTCGGAGTCTGTGTTTGTCTTACAGGCCGGGTGGGCCGCGGTTGGCGGCGACGGGCCGCGGGGGGCAACACTCCCAGTGCGGCTCGGGCGCTGACCAGAATAGCGTCTGGCCACCAGTCGGCTGAGCCGCTCCAGAGCTGGTGACGGGGTCAGGGGCCAAGTCGGCTCCGGCGCCGATTCTGTGTCAGTGGCACGCGCGTCGGCCGCCCGAGGAGCGACCATGGGCGCCTGCTGGAGTCGGCCAGGTGCGACAGCTCGTGTGTCAGTGAGTGGTGTCGGTGGTGTGCTTTGAGGACGCTGCATGAGGTCACGTGAGGTCACACGAGTCGCCACGACCCGTACTGTTACTGTCTGGCTGTGTGCGTCTGGTGTGTGGGTTCTGCGCTGTGTCAAAACCCCGAGTGTGCGGACCGAGGCGGGTGCTGGTCTCGAGTAGGATGTGTCGCCATGTGGATTTGTCGTGTCTTGTGAGGGCTTTATGAGATTACCTGGGTCTCTGCAGGACTGTCGCCGATTTATGGCCTGCTGTATGCCGGGTCTGGTCTGCACTGTGAGTAGTTTTGAAGTCTGATCCCCCGAGGTCAGCTGGGGGTCACGCTCGTTAATTCCGGTCATGTTCGGAGCCGGGCAGCCGGTCGGGTTGAGACTGGGCTCAGGTCCGATGGTGTCTCGGTGTCGGTGTCGGGTGGGTGCGGCGGTGCGCCGTACCGCGCCACCCGACGGGCCCGGATGTGTCTGCAGGTGCGGCGCAGGGCCGTGTCGGGCTATCAGAAATCACCGTACACCGCCGTGGTGCCAATGGCGCCACTGTCCGCCATAGCGACCTCGGCAGACCGGCCGGCAGTCGGCCCGCTGTTCGGAGCGCGCCCGCTGCGGCACTGAGAGCTGTGCAGTGCAGAGCTGGTGTGTGGTGTGTGAGTGACGAACTGTGACAAGCCACGACAGCCGTGACAGTCCTTGTGTGACAAGCTGTGACGAACCGTAACGCAGTCTGACATGTTGTGATCCTCCGTGTCTCGATGTAACGTGCTGTGATAGAAGGTGTTCTGAGGCGTTGTGAAGTCTCTGACTGTTTCGTGACGTGTGTCTCCTCTGCGTGTTGCAGTGGCCGGGCAGCCGCCGTCTCCGCCACCCCCTGCCCACGCTGCCGACACGGAGTCCCCGCCGGCGGCCGGCGATCAGGCGAGCACCACCAGTGCGCCGAGAGCCGGTAGCGAGGGCCGTGCTGCTAGTGAGGGGCGCCCGAGCACAGCTACAGGTCTGCGGCGTGCAGGTAGTGAAACGAAGAGCAACCTTCCCGTCCCCATTGGTTCCACCATGCCCGGCAAAGAGCGTCCTAAGAAGGACGACAAGAAACTCCTCAAAGGCCTCCAGATCTTCAAGCGGTCCAAGAGCAAGCCGTCGCTGCACCCGACGCCGTCGATCACCGCTGCGGTGGACGCTGACGCTCCCGCAGCTCCCGGTGCGAGTACCCCGGTGTTCACCCCCGCCTCCCCCACGGTGACCAGCGCCGCCAGTCTGGACCCGTTGATCGGCTCCGAGTCGCCGCCGGCGCCGGCTCCGACGCGGCGCAGCAGTGTCACCCCCATCTCGCTCTCGAGGATCGTGGGCGACGTGCCGGAGCCAGAGCCGGTGACCTGCGACGCGGCGTCGGTCGACGGCTCCTCCGCGACCCCGAGCACGGACACTGAGCTCAACGGCTTCCACGGCGCCATCAACGGCGAACTGGCCGAAAAGCTGCGCAAGGTGGAGGAACTCGAGCGAAAGATCAAACGCATGAAGGAGGACGTGGATCGCGCGACCGAGCGCAAGCGGCGTCAGGAGGAACTCGACAGCAAGATCATCGAGGCGCTCATCTTGGAGAAAATGCAAGGCATGGGACTACTCAAAAGTCAGGTGAGTCCGAGCCTGCGTGGCTCGCAGCTGCTTGTTTGTTTCGTTAGTGTATGGTTTCTTGTTGGTCTCTTAGGAATGGTTGGTATTCTAGCGTCTGGGTACCTACCGAAAGGTTGGTAGTGATGGCTAACTGGAAGACGACAGAAGAAAACACAGAGGCGTGGCCAAATTTAAGGAGTTGCGGGAGGTGTTTTTGTAAGGGCAAGAAAAGCAATCTTAGAATAGTTTATTTCTCTTTTCCTCGTATTTCATCTCAAAAGCTCACAGCTCTTACGGATAAACAAACATCATTCGTCCTCTCTGTATGCCTACTCAAATTCATTTCAGTTGATCAAGGCCACGAACTGCGCTGGCAGGGTAAAGTGGGACAAGGTAGCTGACCGAGCGGACGGCCTTCCATGAACCCGGTGCTGGCCAATGGCCATGCACGGGAGGCCGCTCCCAAATGCGTGGGCGTCCATTAAACACGGCTACCCTGCCGCGTGTTCGGATATTCTGCACGAGCTGGCGTGTGGCTAATCGTTGAGCAATGCTGGCAGTGGGTACTGAGCTAATTGGGTAATCTTCTTTGAAAATGCAGCTAAAAATAATCAAGCTTTATCTAAAGGCTAAGTACTTCTTTGAAAATGCAGCTAAAAACCAGTATAACGCCTTTTGGGGCGACTAACGGAGCGAGCGAGAGGGTGGGCCTTGCACGTGCGAAGTTGCGAGGGGGTAGGTACCTCCAACTGACTTGTGCACGGCACCCTACCAACCGGTCTCTAGCGATATGCCAACTTTAAGCACAATCGGCCCAGCCGTTCTCGAGATCTGGAAGCGGCACCCTGCACGTGCGCACGTGCAAAATGGGTCCCAACTGACTTGTGCACGGCACCCTACTAACTGGTCCCTAACCGTGTACCAAATTTGAGCGCAATCGGTCCAGCCGTTCTCGAGATCTGGAAACGACCCCTGCACGTGCGCATGTGCATTAGCACCCCAACTCTGGCACATGGATATGCATTGCCTAGTGCAGTGGTCGGCAGGTCATTCGGGGTCGTGCCCCCTTTTTGGGCGCCAGGCAGGGCCATTACCCCCACCTACCAGACCCCATTGCTGACACAACTATGTTTACTGAAATTCCATACCGTCCTGGAACTCTTTGGGTATTTGTGCATTTCCAATGCATCAAATTTAAAACATGACACTTCCTCCACAAAACATTCAATGCCTATATCCCAGTAGCGGCGGAACACCTTCAATTAAGGGGGAGGGGGGAGCACTGCCGACTTTTGGTCCCATTCTTTCCATGCAACGCCCATAGGGCTAATGTTAAAATGCAAAAATCAAAGGGTGCACGGTGCCCCGGTGCCCTCCCCGTTCCGCCGCCTATGCTATATCCCATTTAACCCTTGTACGTATAGGGGCGGCGGGTGGTTTTTCGTTAAAAGCTCACGTAAAAGGCATTGGATCACGACCAAATTGTACCCTCGAGCCCATCTTTTTTTCACCAGCCCGGAAAATATCATGACCTGAGACCAGTTTTACCAACAGAAAAATAACCGCCTGCCGGAATTTTTGCCTCAAGACCGCTTCACATACGGAGCGTAAACGCGATGGGCTCGTAAGCGGATAGGGCTTTACCGTTTACGCTCCATATGTGAAACGATCTTTAGGCAAAAATTCCGGCAGGCGGCTTTTTTTTCTGTTGGTAAAACTGGCCTCTGGACCCATAATGACCGTTGGCTTATGAGCTTTTTCTGGAGATCATCTTGAGCCATAAAATCTCACTTCAAGAAGTTATAGCGGGTCCCGATTTTCTCGACACTTTTCATTGCCCTCTTGAATGAGACGGAATGACCAAGGACCTTAAAAATGGGCAGCAGCGGCTTCCTATGGTCACGGGTAGCACGCTCGTCTTTTTTATGCACAGCTCCATATCAGAGTCCGAGAGGCCGCGGGGGTCCGATCGACTCCTCCCCCTTACGTTAGCGGCTGTTGAAACTCCAACAGACGGGCGACGGTTAAAAGTTGCAGCTGCTTTTGAACGACTGTACGGAGGGGTGAGATGGTGAGGCGAGCAGGTACGTGAAAATTGGTATCTAATCAATAGTGTGCTGTGCCTTTGGCCTGGGCTAATCTTTGAACCCTGGGATGCAACAGTCACGATGGCTCCATCACTGGAGCTACAAACTCTAAAAAGATAGGCTTTCTCAGAATCCCTCATTACCCCCACCGAAAGGGCTCCATTACCCCCAAAGGGGGCATGCCCCACCATTTGCCGACCCCTGGCCTAGTGGGTGCTTACCTACATGCCAACTTTCAGCGCAATCGGCCCAGAAGTTACCGAGATATTGCAGCTATTACAAAAGTGACACCTCTTCGTTTTGCACGTGGCACGTGCATAAGGGGTCACCCACATGCATCGGGAATAGTCCAATACTTGGTAGAAGGAATGAAGCTACCCTACAAAAATTACCGCATGTAAATCGGTCAAGTGGTTGCTGAGATATAAGCATCGCAGAATCGTGACCACGGCCGGCCGGCCGGCCGCTCATACTCAGAAATTTCCGTTATTCTACGTAAGACTCCGCTCGCTTCGCTCGTTCCGTAAATAACCAATCTTTATCTAAAGGCTACTATGCTATAGATTTAGAGCTTAGAAGTATTTCTCCACAAGACACAACAATGCACGCTCATTGTTTGTGATGGAGCCGTCAACAGATCCCTCCACAATCACGGAGCCGTGTTGGTCACGGGGTCTCTATGGCAGCCGTATGGGTCCTCAACTTCTGGCGTTGCGTCAGGCGGGTCGCTGAGGGCCGGTTGTGCCAGTGACCTGACCAGCTCATCACCGGTGGCTGGCCAGCTCATCACCTGCGGCGGAGAGTTGGGCTCCGGTGGCGCCGGTCTGGCACGGGCTCCTCCCCACGCAGCGCGGCCGCCGGCAGTGGAGCTGCGCCAGCCATGTGGGTCGCCTGGCTGGCGCGCCTCCTGCGCGCGATCCTCGATATGGTGGAGCGCTGGTGGGTGGGAGTGCAGCACGCCTGGGTCGAGCGAACCCGACTGACATGGATCGTCCTCGACAGCCGGACGTGCGCCCTCATGACCGTGAGTGTCCCGTGGAAGGGTTGTCTTGGTCATTATAATGGACATTACCTCTTAAATCTTCTGGAGACGAGCCAAGCGGTGTTTCTCTGTAAATAGCGTGTCGTGTTGGGGCTTGCTGACGTCTATCATGCAAGTTTTCATGCTAATAAGTTGGCTGCCGATCCGTCCAGTGTCGTGTAAAAGTATAGCAAAAGTATCGGTCGTGCAAAAGCATCGACGGACGTCACAATATGTCGTGCCATCGAGCTGTGGTCGTGGCTATAGGTGTCTACAGATAGCCGGGCCTGTGACTGCATTGATCGCTATATACTGAGCCAAAAATGAAAACACTTTCCTCATGCATTGGTCGTTTTTTCACTAAGCTAGATTGCTTTTTTGAAACAATTCACCAACCACCTAACTGATCAATAAAAAGCAGGAGTATGTAAAGCAAATAATACTCGTACCCTTAAAAATACCGAATTCACCCAGATGCCTAGCAACTGTATGTACCGTTATGTTACATCATAGCGGAATGGGGAAGGTTACATCAGTCGATGTATTTACTCCGGTAGCTTTTAGCATTCGCCGCCTCGCTACGTCAGCGCGCCTGCCATTCTTTCTTGAACTTCGAAGAAATGTTTGCCTTCGTAAGCATGACATTGCAAGCGTAGTTATATGAAACGGGCATTTTTCGCCGGTGGGGCTTACTCCTATAAACATTAACCTTGTTCCGGTGTGGCTGGGTGACCAGCATTGCATCACCGCATTGTCAGTTTGCCGCATTTACAGCATTCCCGACCGCATTATATGAATGCCCCGCCCCCTACTTGTTTGACACTTCAAAGGGCACATGGAATTCATGGCAGAGCTAGAGACGGCGACTCACAAAATTGTCATGATGATGCTTGAACTGTTGGATACCACTGCCCTCTGATAACCAACGAGACATGTTTGGGAAGTTCGCATGTTGTTGTGCTTTAACTGAGTCCCTAAAATTTTCAATGAATTTCCACGATATTACGAATGGAAGCATAAAAGTTTCAGACTGCAGGCCAGACCTGCAAAGTTGTGTCACCTGTGCCACCTCCAAGTCACATAACTTTGAAGCATGAAGAGGAATACGTGACGGTGGCACAGAATTGTCGTCACGCAACATTTATTCAACATATGACCTACTCTGTAGACTGGCAATTTCAGTGTGACATCACGTGACCTGAAGGACAGTGGTCACAGAGCACGTGACCATCTGGCGGCATTTCCGGCGCGTGCCGTGCCGCCGCTGCTGGCGTCCTATCAGATCCTGTGAGGCGCCTCCTGGCATGTCGGCTGTCTGTCGTCTGATCGGAGAATTCTGGTCTCTCTCGGTCGGACCTTAGATGGACCTCGGCTTGATGCTGATGACCGAGATGAAAGGGGCCTTGAGGGGTACGATGCTCCTCGTCCTTGCAGGATAGAAGCTGCTTCGTCCTTGCAGGGTCCAGTGAATGTCGACGTTGTATGAGTGCAGTAAAGTTAATACCGACATCTGTCTACAGATCACTAGGGGAGAGTTTGCCTCTCGTCCAGACCTCATCCACAAATCGCTTAGAACTCACGACCCTAGTCCTTCCTGGCCCCGAACTCTCCTCGGCTCTGTTCAGTCGCCATGCGATGTGGTTGGCTGCCCTGATTCGGTTATCAGGGCGAGACCACCGTACCTCGATCGCATCCCTTATAGAGCGTCTGATGCGCACATTTGGCACCATATCACGGTCTTTGATCCCCAAAACTGGGCATACAGAGACAGAGTTTTATCACGCTGCTTTTTCGCTGCGCCCAAAAACAGCCACGCGGTGACGGTGTGACCCAAGCTGAAAACCTGGTAAAAACGCTGGTCTTAGTCGCATACCGGGACGGTCTGCGGCTGGCGAGAAGGGCCGTCTACCGTT